TTTTCAACAGAAATCTTTACCACTTCTGAGTCAGAAGGCCAGTCTTCATCTTCCATTGACATAATAAGATACTGAGAAGGTTGTAAACTTCCTTGTCCAGGAGATGGAGACATTTCAGGAGGTGTACCATACTTCTTCAGAGAGAAGAAAAAAGTTTTCCTTTTCTACTCTTCAATTGATTATTCAAATTATAGGAGAAAATTACACTTTACACACAGTATTAAACTAAACTCAGGTTACAAATGGATTCTTTTGGGACTGACAGATGAATTACACTTTTATTGCAAAAAAAAAAAAAGTATAAGTTACATGGTGACATAAATAGCCAACTTTTAAGTTTTACAGCTTAATAGACAAGCTCAACAAGGGCCACTTCTTCTAGGAATCAACTCACGTTATTAACACATCTTAAACCACATTGTCTCAGATAAAAGTTCCTTCTTTTCTAAGGTGTACATTTACTGAGGTCTTGTTTTTGACTTGAACTCTGAGAGTAAATAATATTTGTAGTCTAAAGAATATCTCAACACTTAAAAAAGTAATGCAGAAAATACTTAGAGAAATACTATTTTGATTCATTATTAAAACTCCCAACACCTCAATCATTTTTCTCTAAATCATCTTTTATAAATGCTATCAAGGTTAAATTAATAGTAATAGATGACTGAACAACAACACACTTAACGTAACAAATGTTACTGAACTTCAACTGGGACAGCCTTTTAGCATGTTACAAGATACACCTAAAGTACAAGTGTAAAATAAGATGTAGATCCCAATTAATCACTCAATGCTGTTATTAATGTCAGTTTCCTTTTAGTAACACTAAGTTTAGCTACAAATATTGTAGTGAATCTGGTGCATAGTGTCTGCTATCGAACTAGTAATTATCACAATGAAATAAACTTTGATATTTCAAGTTTAATGGAAGAAAATTAGTTCCAAAGCTAGGTTATTTAAAATACACACACACACACACACACACACACACACACACAAAGGGTTATTTATAATGTGTGGTAATAATTTCAATGTCCAAACACAAAAACTACACAGGTTAAAAATCCTGTCTCTCTTGTTGCAATTCAAGTTAAAATGTGGTGATTTGCCCATATAGATGGTCTCTCAAAATAACCTTTCCTGGAAGGATTACATAACAGGACATTCTTACACTAAGTTCCCCTATTTTGCAATTATGAAACTATACAAGCCATAGAGTAAATGTGGCAATAAGTGAAACATAAAATAAACATTTTGTTACATTTGTAGTTTGATTGCCAATATTCTTAATATTCTTCTTTGAATTCATCAAATTATTCAAAGAACAGGCCTCTCTGTAGGTTGTGACAAAAATAGTTTTTAAGGTTTCTTTTTTTCTTAAAAAATATAGAGCAAATTATAGTTTTGCAAACCAAATACAAAGTTAACTCTCTCAACGCAGACTTCGTCAATTTGACTGACCAAGTGACCTCTTTGTACTCATTTAAAGTCTTTATAGAATTAATACTTCTAACATCCAATATAGTGTGTATATTTTTATAAAATTTGGCAGACTTTCAGTTAACATTACAAGTCTTTCACATATAAAAAATCTTACTTTTTAGTGAAGTATTTTTAATAAACTAAAATAAAGATTTGTCCATGAATATATTGGGTATTTATTTTGAATAGTCCATGTTCAAGTTAGGATTAAAAATAGTTTTCTGTGTCTCAAAAATCTCAAATTTCCTTTGTGTAATCCCTAATACTTCCTAAATAAATTTCAAATGCTTGTTTTCAGTAAAACTTTATATTTTATCTTTTATTTTCTCTACTCTATCTATAAACACAATCAGTCAATTTGACCAACCTCATAACCACCAAAAAAAATCTAACCCATTTTTTCTTTCAAGAATGACTTCAAATTGTAACATGAAACTACATTCGTTTATCCTAAGTAGCTTTAAGCTCATAACAGTATACATCTATTTATAATTAAATTTTATTGTTTTACTACCCTTTGAATCATGTTTAACTACTATCTATGCCATTATAAATCACTCTAAAAACTTGCAGCTCCTGTTACACTATCGAATTACATTACCTACAAGCTGCTCATGTACGTGTCTCGGGAAATAATTTTTATTATTATTATTATTTATTTTACCTAAAGAGATCCCTATTTTTACATTTTGGTTACTTTTATAATAATAAATAAAGAATAAACAAGAAATAAAGTTCTTACCCAATCTTTTTTTTTCTTGCTGTCAATTGTTGATGAAACTTAACCCTAGTTTTTTTTTTATGTTAATAGTAGTAATGCACTAAATGATATATATTTAATTAAAAAATGCACCAAAGAACATAGACTAATAACATGCAAAAAGCAGACAATTTCCCCTAACTCTCAAAATTTTCTGGCTTTCTGACTATGCGACAAGAGCTGTTACAAATTCATCCAGGCTAATCGTTAGTTTTCCCAAGGGAATGAAGTTCATACTCTAAGTGAAACTGACACATGTCTGTTCAGAACACAACATTATATAATACATCATTTGACAGATGAAAACCTTAATTTTCTATTGGTTATAGGTAATATATAATTAAATGTAAGAGAGAATTATTAACAAATCCTGAAAGAGATAATGTGACAGACAAGTGTGGCAGGAGGGGTTTAATTTTCTGTTTGATAGTTCTGTAACCAAACAAAATTGAAGGCTAGAAAATTATGGTTTGTATGAGCAATGATATTAGAGGGAGCAATTGATGTTTAATTTTGTACATTTTGAATGGGTGGTGAATAAAATACAGAAGAGAATATGACTAGAGAAAGTGTGTTACACTAAGAGAAGTTCAGGATATTCTAAAATATTTCCTTATAGAGTTAAAAACATAAAACTTATAAGTTATATACCATTAAAATATGGATTATTAGCTAAGCATTTATGCTATTTTAATTGGTATAGCATGTTAGACACTAAAACCTTGTGTCATGTGCAGTAAAGGATGCCTGTCGCAAAATTGTTAAATACATAACAATAACATATATTTACCTAAAAATAATTTCTATATCCATCTGTAAAATTTCCATGAAGAAATACACTGTTTTCAGTATGACAACAGAGATATTAACATGTAAGTTCTGATGAAGAATCCAAACAAATCATTAAACTTTCCCATATCTCTACTTGATAATCATGGTATTATCATGACTACAGTATTCAATTTGGCAATGCTTTTAATTAAAAATATATGTTTACTCAATTTTTTCAACTTTTATGGGTTTTTGGATTATTTGGAGCAAAAAATAGAGGAAATAAACGATGAGAGCAAAAAGGATTTTATACGTTTTTAAGGGTTTTACTAGAAGGCCTGTAAGAATACAAATGGAAAATGGGATTTTCATTTCTTGCAAAAATTGAAAAACAGTTTTTAGCACTGAAATTTGCTAGCCAGTTGTGAACTTTTATGAACTCATCAGGTTTAGTTAGAAACAGCTCCATATACTTGTGTTATCTGGAAATAGCTCTATATATATTTGTGTCTCAATACTTTGTAGACATGATCTAAACTTGCCTAGTTTCAAAAAGAACAACTGAATTTAATACCAAAAATCAAATGTTTTAATTTGTTGAATGAACATGTGTACATTATTTGATGCTATTTTTGTAATAAACCAAATTTTATTTTTCCACAAGTTTATATGTAATTCGCCTGTTAATCCTAAATGGAATTTAGTGAAAATCTACAGTTAAATCAATACTTTCATAATGCTTTGTTGACAGTTTTAATTGTGTAAATTTTATATTCACACATCAGTGGTAACTGTTAAGCCTAACAAGACATTAGACTAGTACCAAACAAGACTTTTCACATATAAATTATATATCAAGATAAGTTTTAAATAGTACAGCCAAAGTATTAAAAACCACTATATCAGATCTGAATTTAACAACTTATATTTTTGTGCCTACTTTGTGAAATTGTCAAATATCAGAAAAATTTATAACTGACGTTGTGTGGATCTTAACTATATTCAGTTATGCTGTTTTGTAGAAACTTTTTTATACTTGGATTAGTTGAAGAAGTGGTATTGTTTATGTTGTTTTTTTGCATGGTGAGCCAACAGTAACACAAGTTCTCGTTTCACCAACTTTTGATGATCAACTAATCTAACCTTGTAACAAAACACATGTCCAGTATAAATTAATAGGGCAATCAGAAGGAAAAAAGAAATATCAACTTTTTTACTGTTGATAACTGGAGCAACATAATTTAAGGAAAAGCAAACAGATAAAATTATTTCAAATATGATCCAAAAATGCACGACAACAATAAGAATTATTATAGCAGACCCTGAAGTCATTAATTAGAAGTGAATGCAAGGTGTGCTGTTAGTAGAATTATAAAATACCTGTTGACTGGGTGATATTAAAGTGTTCACAGGCTTTAGTTCCAAAGGTAAAGCTGGCAGTGGTCTGCCATCCATAGGGTTAAACGTGTTAGACTTTACTTCTGGTACAATAGCTGGAGTTGTGGAGCAATTTCCAGTTGTACTACACAGCACATCTTTAGTAACACATCCCTAAAAGCCACAAAGCACAGTTTGCACAAAAGGCAGCATTAATGAAAGCACTATGACACAGTTCTCACTACGAAGTTCTTGCTGGCAATGAAAGACTAGAGAAATAGGCACAAAACTTGTTCTAGCTTTGTTCACAAAAACAAGTAAAGATAATGTACAGAGGTGACTATTAAATCAGGAACCATAAACTTTCTTCTCCTCATTAACATTATCACAAAATACTCTCAATTCATTTATCACCTTAGTTTCTATTAATTAAATTCAAAACAAGCTATAGATGGCTAAATATCATAACAAATGTGATATATAACACTAAGTGAAGTTTATTCTCTTTTATCAGCTATGTTTTATTTATGCTTTTAGTGCTAGAAAATTAAATTTTGATAATGTTTCTTCATGGTAATCAGGTGTGGTAAGTAAGCCACACCACTAGTTGTTTATTATTATTAATTAATGTAACCTACACATTTTATATCTTATTAGCTTTACATACTGCAATTAGAATTATTAATCTTATTATAATTTCGTACAACTGCTTAATTATTTTAAGCAGTTAAACCTATAAAGCTAACTTAAAACTATAAATGTAATGAATTTATGTGTTTTAATACCAACAAGTCTATACTTTCAACAGTTAATAACCAGAAGGTAGCGTACAGCAGAATATTATTTTCCTGTAGACATTTTTATCTTCCTTTTGAGAACTGATTGGCAAATATTAAAAGAA